AAATGTAAAGGAAGGAACAACTGTATAACCAAAATGTAAAGGAAGGAACAACTGTATAACCAAAATGTAAAGGAAGGAACAACTGTATAACTTAATGTAAAGGAAGGAACAACTGTATAACTAAAATGTAAAAAAAGCAATGAGCGCATGACTAAAAAGAAAGTAAAGTTGATTTCCAATGAAATTTTCTGGGACCCATTTGAAGCCTTCTGGACCAATGTTTTCATAATCTGCATTGAGGTGAATGAGAATCTATGCCCACTGGGCAGGACAGTGTACTTACTACTGTAAACATTATAATTAGAATCTTTGCCCACTGGGCAGGACAGTGTACTTACTACTGTAAACATTATAATTAGAATCTATGCCCACTGGGCAGGACAGTGTACTTACTACTGTAAACATTATAATTAGAATCTATGCCCACTGGGCAGGACAGTGTACTTACTACTGTAAACATTATAATTAAAATATATGCCCACTGGGCAGGACAGTGTACTTACTACTGTAAACATTATAAGTAGATGTGCGTGTGTGGGAGGGGGAAGGGGGGGGGGGGGACACAGATATGAGACAAATATTCAGAGAAAGATAGAAGCACCACAGTAGGATCAAGACTAGGAGACCAGTGGTGTGGGCTCAAATCCCATCTGATATGAGATTTGTTGTTGTGGTCACACAGCTCCAAGACAGAACCGACCGCAGGAAATCGGCACCAGCTGATTCTCTGCCATTAAACTGCGATTCTGCAAGAATGTTCTTCTTCTTCATTAGCTGTTAACTATTGGGGGGGGGGGGGGGGGGGGGAAGGTTTGGTCATTTGTCCATTTCAAACTTCGGTCTTGTTCCAGAACTTGACTTTTGCATGCACATCCATTTTTCAGATGTAGCTTATTTTTATGCAGACTGTTGGTTTCTCGCTTCTCAGGCAGATGCACTCTGACTTAAAACTGCCCCTAATTAGTGACCTTTATGGAACATACAAGTTAGGGAGGCGATGGATCTATTCCTTCTCCTCCTACAATGAGTTCCCGTAAGTCATATGGCAAGCAAAAGTACTTAATCATCAGCTTTTCTTTTTTTTTTTTTTATATTACATAATAATTCTAATGAATATATCAGAGAAAAGATTAAAATTAATATGATTCTATTTTAAAATTGTTAAAGCATTAGATCATAGTGACAGTTTTTATATTATTAGAGTATCCAAGTACAGCTGTCAGTTTCTCATTAACGAAGCATTACTGTAGAGTCTAAGTTTCTCATTATTAGAGTACCAACTGCTTTTTGCTCATTTTTACAGCATACTTGTAAATTTCTCCTAATGTTCAACACTAGGAATTTTATAAACATCTCATCTTAATGCAGCAAAGATACGACAATATAGATATTATGCGCAAGAAACAATTTATTAAAAACAAAAACCAAAATAAAAACTATAAAACTATTCAAATAACTACAACAGCTATTACAGGTATGCGTGTCTGATGTATATATGTTTATGTGTGTGTTAATGTTTATCTTTGAGTATGTATTTATCTTTGTTTTTGTGTGTGTGTGCACCTGAAAACACATGCATGTTTTTTAGAATTGTAATATTAATTAAAAAAAATTTCATAATTTATTATCATGTCATTTTCTTTCAGCAGGTCCTTTGAAGAACGTCGCTCTCATCACGGTCTACTTGAAAGAAACTTAGTCTCTCACCAGCTCTCCTGCCTCATGTGCTTTCCTATCCAAGGCGTCATTTATATCCTGTGCCCAGCTGTGCACTAGTCAGCCTCTGCCCCTCCTGTGCCCATCTGTGCACTAGTCAGCCTCTGCCCCTCCTGTGCCCATCTGTGCACTAGTCAGCCTCTGGCCCTCCTGTGCCCAGCTGTGCACTAGTCAGCCTCTGCCCCTCCTGTGCCCATCTGTGCACTAGTCAGCCTCTGCCCCTCCTGTGCCCAGCTGTGCACTAGTCAGCCTCTGCCCCTCCTGTGCCCAGCTGTGCACTAGTCAGCCTCTGGCCCTCCTGTGCCCATCTGTGCACTAGTCAGCCTCTGCCCCTCCTGTGCCCAGCTGTGCACTAGTCAGCCTCTGCCCCTCCTGTGCCCAGCTGTGCACTAGTCAGCCTCTGCCCCTCCTGTGCCCAGCTGTGCACTAGTCAGCCTCTGCCCCTCCTGTGCCCAGCTGTGCACTAGTCAGCCTCTGCCCCTCCTGTGCCCAGCTGTGCACTAGTCAGCCTCTGCCCCTCCTGTGCCCAGCTGTGCACTAGTCAGCCTCTGCCCCTCTCTCCAGGTCCCATGCCTTTTGCTATATTATTCTGTCTAATCTGCCGTGGCACTTGATATGCTCAAAATGTTTCAGTTTCTGAGACAAGCTGCTACTTATTAGCCAATCTTCCATGATCTTTGGATCTTTTAGGATGTTAGAGTTTCTTTTTTTTTTCCTTGGTCTATGCAATTCTGAGAAACTTTCTATTTCAACTCATTTTTTTTTTTATAATGACTGCAAAAGAAGCCCATGACTGACATTCTCTGTTGCTAAAAAGAAGATGGATGCTCTCCAAATGTTGACAATGATTTCTTTGCTGGTGCTTAACCACAGACATCTAATGTAGTTTAATTTTTGCACTGCAATGTCCAGTCTCCTTTCGACTTGCTGATTATTATGGAGCCTAAATATTTAGTCTGTGAGATATTCCATTTCATCATCATTTATTATAACTCTTGGGTGACTGGTAGTTTTGTCTGGCGACATTATTTTTGTTTCCTTTAAATTCAAAAAAGGTTTTCATCTTCAGTGTATTTTTGAGACAGACATGATTAAATGTTTAAATCCCTTACGCTGTTCAAAAGAAGCGCTGCGTCATCTGCAAAGTGAAGTTCCGCAAGCCATCATTGATAAGCCAATCATAACTATCACAAGGCTGTTGTTTTTTCTTTCCCATGATGCTTTCTGCCAAAGTGTCAAGGGCACATTCTGCAGACATGTCCAAGCTATCTCCATCTTCTTCCTTTGATAATGTTTTTGTTTTCTTTCTCATGATGCTTTCTGCCAAAGTGTCAAGGGCACATTCTGCAGACATGTCCAAGCTATCTCCATCTTCTTCCTTTGATAATGTTTTTGTTTTCTTTCTCATGATGCTTTCTGCCAAAGTGTCAAGGGCACATTCTGCAGACATGTCCAAGCTATCTCCATCTTCTTCCTTTGATAATGTTTTTGTTTTCTTTCCCATGATGCTTTCTGCCAAAGTGTCAAGGGCACATTCTGCAGACATGTCCAAGCTATCTCCATCTTCTTCCTTTGATAATGTTTTTGTTTTCTTTCCCATGATGCTTTCTGCCAAAGTGTCAAGGGCACATTCTGCAGACATGTCCAAGCTATCTCCATCTTCTTCCTTTGATAATGTTTTTGTTTTCTTTCCCATGATGCTTTCTGCCAAAGTGTCAAGGGCACATTCTGCAGACATGTCCAAGCTATCTCCATCTTTCTTCCTTTGATAATGTTTTTGTTTTCTTTCTCATGATGCTTTCTGCCAAAGTGTCAAGGGCACATTCTGCAGACATGTCCAAGCTATCTCCATCTTCTTCCTTTGATAATGTTTTTGTTTTCTTTCTCATGATGCTTTCTGCCAAAAGTGTCAAGGGCACATTCTGCAGACATGTCCAAGCTATCTCCATCTTCTTCCTTTGATAATGTTTTTGTTTTCTTTCTCATGATGCTTTCTGCCAAAGTGTCAAGGGCACATTCTGCAGACATGTCCAAGCTATCTCCATCTTCTTCCTTTGATAATGTTTTGTTTTCTTTCTCATGATGCTTTCTGCCAAAGTGTCAAGGGCACATTCTGCAGACATGTCCAAGCTATCTCCATCTTCTTCCTTTGATAATGTTTTTGTTTTCTTTCTCATGATGCTTTCTGCCAAAGTGTCAAGGGCACATTCTGCAGACATGTCCAAGCTATCTCCATCTTCTTCCTTTGATAATGTTTTTGTTTTCTTTCTCATGATGCTTTCTGCCAAAGTGTCAAGGGCACATTCTGCAGACATGTCCAAGCTATCTGCATCTTCTTCCTTTGATAATGTTTTTGTTTTTCTTTCCCATGATGCTTTCTGCCAAAGTGTCAAGGGCACATTCTGCAGACATGTCTAAGCTATCTCCATCTTCTTCCTTTGATAATGTTTTTGTGGTCGTGTTTGGCCAAACTGTTCGCAGGATTTTCCTTAGACATATTTTATGTCATGATAGACATAGTGATTGATAAATGTGAAGTCTTTTTGGTAAGCTGCATATTTAGTACTGTAATTCTCTGAGTTCCTTCAAGTATCTATAATTAAAAATTGTTTTAAAATAATAATATCTGAGTTCCTTCAAGTACCTCTAATTAACAAATGTATCAGTATAAAGTATAATTCTATCTGAAAGTTCTATGTTTTTAATCGATACATGTGTCAGGATAGTCCTATATTAAATGCTTCCTGCAAGTCCTCATAATCCACATTTGTATCATTACCTTTCAATATCCTAAGTGGTCTCCAGTACCTTTGGCCTCTCTCACCATTGTTCATTTAAGGGTTTCTCTTAAATGTCCTGGTTTCCTCAGTCCATCTGTTCCCTATTTTCTGAAGATTCCCTGCTTGTTTTTTCTCAGGATTTACCCAATACAGCGCCATCTTCTTTGTCTTATAGCAGCTGGTCCAGCTAATCCACACATGTTTCGTTATAAACCTATTCCAATCTTTAAAAAGCTGACCTCATAGGTTTCATTACATCTATATTTCAATATTTATAAAGTTTACTGCCTATTTATGAATCCTGATATCTATTTCAACCTTTAAAGAACTTATACTCCATATATGTATCCTTACATTTATATTTCGATCTCTCAAGCATTTTGATCTACATTTGCAAATAAATCTTTCTGTTCAGCTATTAAGACATAAATAAGTGCTACTATGAAACAAGTATAATCAAATTAGCACAGGATTACAACACTTACGTACATATAATTAAAGTACCTATGAGTCGAATCAGCAGTTGCCTGTACTAGACATGTATTGTTCTGCTCTTCCTGTGTGCGAGCATAAGACTGTATGGATGTATGAACCAGGGGGCTTGGAGGAAGGTGGCGGCGTACTGGCCATGGAGAACGTTCTGGAGACACAGGGGAACGTGGTGTACGGGAAGCTTTAGGATCCAACATTTCTGGTGCTGGCGGATAAATATAAATGAAACTAAAGTGTTTCTATTCTGGCCGATAAATACAAATGAAACTAAAGTGTTTCTATTGTGTCGTATAAAATATTTGGTCTATTTATCATCTGAATTTTTCATCTCTGGCAGATAAAATAACAACTCTGTCTAAATTCTGAAGTATTTCCTTTCTGGTGGGCAACAACAAAAAATGTAAATAAACTCCCTGTCTGGGTTCCGGGGCTCTATTATAGGGACAACAAGAATAGACCCACTGCCAAATACCAACAGGAAAGCACTTCACAACTATGATGCAGAAGTTCAAGCCATCAAGATAGGGGTAGAGAAACTACTAAACACACAGTATTTTTCACAACCAGTGGTATTCCTAACAGATGCAAAAGCGGTTCTTCAGGCACTCCAGTCTGGAAAATTACCACGTGTACAGACACTATTATCTTACCTAGGCAACCGCTGTAATTTAGTTATGCAGTGGATACCTTCCCACTGTGGAGTTCCCGGAAATGAAAGAGCTGATAAACTAACTAAGGAAGGTGCAAAATGAAGAACAACCCGACATACCAGTCTTTTATCAACAGAAGAAGAGAATAATCAAATCAATCAGAAAGCCACCAAAACTGGCATATTATGGACAGACCAGAGCCAGTCATTATCCTTCGACTTAGAACAGGGCACAATCGACTTCGCTGCCACATGTATACACAATTTGAGATTGGCGAATCAGCTAAGTGTACCTGTGGACTGGCACCTGAGCTAACAGATCACATCCTCCAAGACTGTCCTAGATTAAACGCTTCCAGGCAAAACTTCTGGCCAAAAGAGACACTTGTGGAAGTCAAACTTTACAGGCTGCTTCGTGAATTACAAAAGACAGTGAAGTTCATACTAGAGACAGCATTGCGGATATAGATAATTTATTTCATGCGAATGAAAGAAGAAGACCCACTGCCTAAAGAAAAGCATGTCATAAGAGTCAATTAATTGGGAGCTTCCTTCAAAGTTGGAGTGCATCTGCCTGAGAAGCAAGGAACCAGCAGTCTGCATACAGATGAGTCAGATCTGTAAAACAGATGCACATGCAACATTCAGGTTCTGGAACAGGACTGCAGTCCAGAGGGGGATGAACATCCAAAACTTTCCGCCAGAATGTACAGCTGGTGAACGTGAAGAAGAAGAAATAACAAAGAACACATTATACTGCACAATTTGATTCCTGGCATATTTGAGCAGATGTCATTAGCTACATTACTGCACAATTTGATTCCTGGCATATTTGAGCAGATGTCATTAGCTACATTACTGCACAATTTGCACCAACAGCTCATTAAGCACAAAACTGCATCCTTTCAGCTATGCCAAAATCGGAATCTTTTCAACTGAAATACAAGTCAAACAGCCCACTCCAACACTGCTCACCTCACCACAGAAGTCACAGATTAACCACTTGGTCCTTCTAATACTCTAGTAATTTCGCTGACTATATTTTTTTGTTTTCTCTCTCTCTGTCTCTCTCTCTCTGTCTCTCTCTCTCTCTCTCTCTCTCTCTCTCTCTCTCTCTCTCTCTCTCTCTCTCTCTCTCTCTCTCTCTCTCTCTCAAAATAGGAACATATTAAATGTACAATTATTGGTTGAACAATGGGTATTTGAACAAACAGAATAAGAGAGAGACCAAATTTTAACCGACCCTCTTCAATAGATAATTTTTTCTTTCCTTCTCTTGCTAGTCAGTTACTCACTTTCTCATGCACTGAGTCATCAGATGAAACCACATATTTCATGAACTGTCTGCTTCAACACATGAAATACAACAAATGAAAATCCACTAACATATCAAGCTCACCCACAAGTAAAAACTCCTCAAAATGTGAAAGTCATCAATACATTAAACTTATCAACATATGAAACTCACCCCCATTGAAAGCTCACCAACATAAGAAACTCACCCAAAATATGAAACTCATCAATGGGAAAGCCATCATTATATGAACATCTACTCACTCAGTATTTCAGGTTTGAAAGTGGCGATGATTCTAAAAACGTAGTCCGCGGCCTCCTCCTCGTCCATGCTGGTGGTACTGCCACTGCTGGTGCTGCTACTGCTGGACAGACGACTGCCCTTACGCCGAAGCTTTGGGAACACCCTGCCTGTCAATCAACAATATGAACAGACACATCAAGCAAACGTTTGCATTTTGAACAGGCTGACATTAACTACATAGGGATGTCTCCAAAAGTAATATTATGCTAATACCGGACACACAAAGTTTTCACATGCATACCCCACTTCTCCACTGCTGCACTCATCCCAGAGTACCTTATTCACATATTCCTCATGAGTGTGCTAGTTTCTGAACACAGATTCCCCAGGCAGAATCACAGCAGTGAACAAATTCTGTCTCACTCACAAAGACTTAATGTGTGTGTACCAAAATCCCACATGCTACAAATATTCTATATGTGGGTAAATATTCTATATGTGGGTAAATATTCTATATGTGGGTAAATATTCTATGTGTGGGTAAATATTCTCATTTTATAATTTACCCAGGAAGTGACTTAATGAAACAAAAGGCTTAAAGGAGCATAATATCATCCAATGTATAAAAAAAAAAAAATTAAGAGTTAGTAAACAGTTGTAAAAATGCAAATCAAGCCACTGAAAGAGATGTTACGAATATTGCAGAAGAAACATTACCAACTGATAACCAAAAGAGTGATAATCAATACAATATTTTTACCAACATTGTCTTACCAGTGCTAAGTGTGGACAAAAAGAAAAAGGAAAAGTCAAGACAACATGAATAAAATATCAATAACAAATCACAAATGTTTAAAAAAAAAAAAAAAAGATGGGATGAGAAATAATGACATCAGCAAACAAGCAGGAAGGAAACTAGTACTGAACTATTGTCAACAGACAACACACAAGTGGGATGGAACCAGTACTGAACTATTGTCAACAGACAACACACAAGCAGGAAGGAAACTAGTACTGAACTATTGTCAACAGACAACACACAAGCAGGAAGGAAACTAGTACTGAACTATTGTCAACAGACAACACACAAGTGGGATGGAACCAGTACTGAACTATTGTCAACAGACAACACACAAGTGGGATGGAACCAGTACTGAACTATTGTCAACAGACAACACACAAGCAGGAAGGAAACTAGTACTGAACTATTGTCAACAGACAACACACAAGTGGGATGGAACCAGTACTGAACTATTGTCAACAGACAACACACAAGCAGGAAGGAAACTAGTACTGAACTATTGTCAACAGACAACACACAAGTGGGATGGAACCAGTACTGAACTATTGTCAACAGACAACACACAAGCAGGAAGGAAACTAGTACTGAACTATTGTCAACAGACAACACACAAGTGGGATGGAACCAGTACTGAACTATTGTCAACAGACAACACACAAGTGGGATGGAACCAGTACTGAACTATTGTCAACAGACAACACACAAGTGGGATGGAACCAGTACTGAACTATTGTCAACAGACAACACACAAGTGGGATGGAACCAGTACTGAACTATTGTCAACAGACAACACACAAGTGGGATGGAACCAGTACTGAACTTTTGTCAACAGACAACACACAAGTGGGATGGAATCAGTACTGAACTTTTGTCAACAGACAACACACAAGTGGGATGGAACCAGTACTGAACTATTGTCAACAGACAACACACAAGTGGGATGGAACCAGTATTGAACTTTTGTCAACAGACAACACACAAGTGGGATGGAATCAGTACTGAACTATTGTCAACAGACAACACACAAGTGGGATGGAACCAGTATTGAACTTTTGTCAACAGACAACACACAAGTGGGATGGAATCAGTACTGAACTATTGTCAACAGACAACACACAAGTGGGATGGAACCAGTATTGAACTTTTGTCAACAGACAACACACAAGTGGGATGGAATCAGTACTGAACTATTGTCAACAGACAACACACAAGTGGGATGGAACCAGTACTGAACTATTGTCAACAGACAACACACAAGTGGGATGGAACCAGTACTGAACTATTGTCAACAGACAACACACAAGTGGGATGGAACCAGTACTGAACTATTGTCAACAGACAACACACAAGTGGGATGGAACCAGTACTGAACTATTGTCAACAGACAACACACAAGTGGGATGGAACCAGTACTGAACTATTGTCAACAGACAACACACAAGTGGGATGGAACCAGTACTGAACTATTGTCAACAGACAACACACAAGTGGGATGAAACCAGTACTGAACTATTGTCAACAGACAACACACAAGTGGGATGAAACCAGTACTGAACTATTGTCAACAGACAACACACAAGTGGGATGAAACCAGTACTGAACTATTGTCAACAGACAACACACAAGTGGGATGGAACCAGTACTGAACTATTGTCAACAGACAACACACAAGTGGGATGGAACCAGTACTGAACTATTGTCAACAGACAACACACAAGTGGGATGAAACCAGTACTGAACTATTGTCAACAGACAACACACAAGTGGGATGGAACCAGTACTGAACTATTGTCAACAGACAACACACAAGTGGGATGGAATCAGTACTGAACTATTGTCAACAGACAACACACAAAAACATTTATATACGAGTCAAGACTACCACAAAAGCAGAGCCCTGCCATTAAGACACAATAGATACAGAGAGAGAGAGAGAGGTTACCCAGGCAAGTGATGGATAAATGGAATATCTGAGGCTGTGAATATTTGAAACTATCAGCTACACTTACATAGCACACATGAAGGCTCACACAGGCCGATCTTCACAATTGGTGCTCAAAGGCAGAACAGGGACAGGAAAAAAACATGAAGTGACTTAAATCAGAAAAATTATGACTATGGCAGGAAATGTTCAGATAAAATAAAATGATAAGGTAGGTAAATTCAAAATGGTCAGTCAATTTAAAAAATAAATATTGATTCTGATAAGCTTTTTGTATGGTATAACATTCCTAGCATTGTCAAATTCGATGCATAATGATCTATTTACTACCAAATCATGTGCAGCTGATTTCAAACCCATTTCTGTCAGGGTTTTGAAATTACATTCACAACACTTAACTGACACATGCCGACAGTGGCACCATAAACTAGACCTAACTGACAGTGGCACCATAAACTAGACCTAACTGACAGTGGCACCATAAACTAGACCTAACTGACAGTGGCACCATAAACTAGACCTAACTGACAGTGGCACCATAAACTAGACCTAACTGACAGTGGCACCATAAACTTGACCTGACAGTGGCACCATAAACTTGACCTAACTGACAGTGGCACCATAAACTAGACCTAACTGACAGTGGCACCATAAGCTAGACCTAACTGACAGTGGCACCATAAACTAGACCTAACTGACAGTGGCACCATAAACTAGACCTAACTGACAGTGGCACCATAAGCTAGACCTAACTGACAGTGGCACCATAAACTAGACCTAACTGACACAAGCTGTAAAAAACAAACATCTGTGCCATCTCCACAATGAAAGTTGGCTAAAGTGTACCACAGCTAACTGGGATAGTTCTGTAGTGAGGCCCCAATCTCCACCACATGCCACTGTCAGAAATTCCCAAAAACAGCATTGTTTTAAACCCCCCACTACAGGAAAAACCCAAGTATGTGAGGGTCAAGAAACTGTTAACCGCGTTTGTTAACCTCTAAACCAGCGAGCCACACAAGTTTGTTGCATCAACAGACAAATTAATGATTTGCTGAAATTGGATGTGTTCAGCCAAAAGGCACAGATATCACAGCCCAGCTGTAATCCACAACATAATATGCCAACCACCTTGGAGGTTGAAAAGACAAGTATTGTTACATAATAATTTGTTGACAGTGAAGTCTTTTATTGTGGTCTTAAAAACACATATGGTGTGTTTTTGTGTGTGGCTTGGCTGCCTACAAGTTAGTGAACGCATTGAACAATGTCACATTCCTTGAGTACCAGAGCTCAATTACCATGACAGATGGTGTGTTTTTGTGTGTGGCTTTGCTGCCTACAAGTTAGTGAACACATTGAACAATGTCACATTCCTTGAGTACCAGAGCTCAATTACCATGACAGATGGTGTGTTTTTGTGTGTGGCTTGGCTGCCTACAAGTTAGTGAACGCATTGAACAATGTCACATTCCTTGAGTACCAGAGCTCAATTACCATGACAGATGGTGTGTTTTTGTGTGTGGCTTTGCTGCCTACAAGTTAGTGAACGCATTAAACAATGTCACATTCCTTGAGTACCAGAGCTCAATTACCATGACAGATGGTGTGTGTTTTTGTGTGTGGCTTTGCTGCCTACAAGTTAGTGAACGCATTGAACAATGTCACATTCCTTGAGTACCAGAGCTCAATTACCATGACAGATGGTGTGTTTTTGTGTGTGGCTTTGCTGCCTACAAGTTAGTGAACGCATTGAACAATGTCACATTCCTTGAGTACCAGAGCTCAATTACCATGACAGATGGTGTGTTTTTGTGTGTGGCTTTGCTGCCTACAAGTTAGTGAACGCATTGAACAATCTCACATTCCTTGAGTACCAGAGCTTAATTACCATGACAGATGGTGTGTTTTTGTGTGTGGCTTTGCTGCCTACAAGTTAGTGAACGCATTGAACAATGTCACATTCCTTGAGTACCAGAGCTCAATTACCATGACAGATGGTGTGTTTTTGTGTGGGGCTTGGCTGCCTTCAAGTTAGTGAACGCATTGAACAATGTCACATTCCTTGAGTACCAGAGCTCAATTACCATGACAGATGGTGTGTTTTTGTGTGGGGCTTGGCTGCCTACAAGTTAGTGAACGCATTGAACAATGTCACATTCCTTGAGTACCAGAGCTCAATTACCATGACAGATGGTGTGTTTTTGTGTGTGGCTTGGCTGCCTACAAGTTAGTGAACGCATTGAACAATGTCACATTCCTTGAGTACCAGAGCTCAATTACCATGACAGATGGTGTGTTTTTTGTGTGGGGCTTGGCTGCCTACAAGTTAGTGAACGCATTGAACAATGTCACATTCCTTGAGTACCAGAGCTCAATTACCATGACAGATGGTGTGTTTTTGTGTGTGGCTTGGCTGCCTA